GTCAACTGATATTTCATCAATTCCTGGGAGCCTTATGTCAATGTGTTCAGTGAAGTTTCTTCCTTACTTGGATCTTATTATAGGCTATTTCTTGGGATGATTCAGTGCTGACCAATTCTTTTTGATAGTCACACTTCAACCTTCTTTTATTGCTTCATGCATCACTCAATATCCTGCCCATAAAATCCTTCAGTATTGCCACTCCAAAGTTTAAATTTGTATTTACATTCTTTGAAATCTTAGGTTCACCTCTTATTCAATCAGCTTGTCATTTGGCTTTAGCTTCTCTGTTAAAGAGCAAGTTTCAGTTTCTTCTGACATTTTTTGTTTTCGTCGTTCTTTCCTGTCTTTACATACACACACACACACGCACGCGCACACACTTTTTTTTTCTGTGTGTGTGTGTGTACCGTCAAATCAGATCTGACTGGTACAGGAGGAAATTGTCCCTCCTTCTCTAGCAGAGCATCTGGTGGATATGAACCGCACACCTCTGGAACTGCAGTTTAAATGACCTCTTGCTTCTTCATGCATGACAACCTTGATGTCATCTCACAACTGCTTCAGTCCATAGTGTCCAATATAATAAACCTATTCTTGAGATTCTTTTATATTCAGGTAGGATAAACCCAACGTCATTCTGGCTTGCATCGACTTTTTTTTTTTAGTATTTTCTACCTTCACCTGGATGTGTGTCTTGGGAGCCTTAGTGTCCGCTAAAGGGGCCTCTGGCTTCTGGAAGAGAGGCCAGGATGGAATACTGGGGCGCTTTTGGCTTTCTTTTTTGCCACAAGTGGGTGTCGCAGAGCAGACTTGCCAGATGAATTGGGGGTCTCTGGCCTCAGAGGTTGCCAGCATTTGGGCATGCCAGAATGGTAAAATACTGAAGAGCCCTCAGGCCTGTGGCCCTTGGGCCTATTTTTCATTGCTTTTGTTCAAACACTGTTCTAGGTGGTATAGCTCTGGTCTGTCCACTTGCCCTACAGAGGCAACTTGTGGTTGCTGTGAAGCTGAACACTGTGACACTGATGTGTCAAATGCATTAATGTTACCCATGGTGGACAGTGTTTGGTGCCCCCCCCCAATGAAAACAAGCTTGGAAGAAGGAGTGGCATCCACTTCCATAAAAGCTTGTGTCCGGAAACCCTATGAACTTGGAGAAAGGATGAAAGTCACACAAATGTTGAGGACTTTTGTTCATAGGATTGCTATGAGTCACCTACGACTCAATGACACTTAACAACAACACTTTTACCTGGATCTTATGTATATGTATGTGATGGTCTGTACCACAGGCATTCAACTTTGAGGAGGAAGTTCTTCCTTAGCTACCCCAGTTTTAATATCTTTCAACTTAAGGGGTTCATCTTCTGGCACTTTATAGAACACTATTTCACTACTATGACGTTTTCAAGGGCCCATTATTTCAGAAATGGATGGCCAGCTCTTCTAGGTTTCTCTTAGTGTGGAATCTCTACTGAAACCTATTCTCCTTGAGAGACCCTGTGGGATCTAAAACACTGGCAGCATAGCTTCTAGAATCACAGCAACATGGAAGTCACCACAGGTGAACAGGACAAAGGTGGGGTGGGACTCTATCCAACTATGTATATTTTGTCAACAGTATGAATACCGTTCCTTTTTCATCATACAGGTACTGGCAGTACTGGACCTGTGAAGGCTGGGAAAAGATGAAGGTATGAAGGTATAACATTCAAGTCAGAACAGACCCATAGCTGGCCTTTCAGCAGGTTCTGAGAGGCTCTAAATCACATTGGAGAATGCTTATCTTTGTCTTGCGAGCAGCTAGTGGATTTGAACTGTCTTTCAAATAACAGCAGCTCATCTCCATAATCACTAGGTGACCAGAGTGTAGACTTGCTATTCTTAATTAGAACTCTCTGTATTACTTTTTGGCTAAGGCACAAATGCAAAGCTAGAATTAGCATTGCTGTTTATCTTTAGACAGATAACATTTTTATCTGCTTAACAGTCTCTTAAATCTTTCCGTACCCTCTACCATGACTAGCTGGCTATGTGGTTTCTTTGTCCTTGTTACTTGGTACATCTCAAGGAAACTCATCAAAATCTATGCTACAATTGTTCCCTGCTGAATCTCCACTCACAAATGAATGCCCTCCTACAGTTTCAAACAGCGATCCTCCCCTCATCAGATAGCATTTGTCCTTGGCAGGGCCTAATGTTGCTCTCTCAGTACTTTCCTTCACAGACACAAGATATTTCAAATCTGAACCAACCAACTGGGCATTTCCACAAGTGGAGAGCCATTTCAAGGGAAAACTTTTAAATGATAAGACTTAAAAACTATCTTCTAAACAATAGCAATGTTCAACAAGACAACACCAAATCCTGGTCCTGAAAGACCAGAACTCCCATGTACTATTGGCGGAACTGTAAAACAACACAACCACAATGGAAAGCAGTTTGTCACTTCCTTAGAAAATTGGGAACAGAAATACTACTTGCTTCAGCAATTTATCTACAAGGCATATATGCAGAAGAAAGAAGAGCTCTGACACAAATAAGATATATGTATACTCATGCTCACTGCAGCATTATTTACAACAGAAAAGAGATGGAAACAACCAAGTGCCCATCAACAAAAAAATGGATAAAGAAACTATGCAAACATTCTTCTAGGTCATATAGCCCTGGTCTGTCCACTTGCTGTGCAGAGAGGTAACTCGTGGTTGCTGTGAAGCTGAACACTGTGACACTGATGAGTCAAACGCGATAATGGTTACCCATGATGGACACTGTTTAGTGGAGCTCCCCAATTAAAACAAGCTTGGAAGCAGGAGTGGCATACACTTCCATAGTAGCTTCCTTCCGGAAACCCTATGGACCTAGAGAAAGGAGGAGTCACACAAGTGTTGAGGACTTTCGTTCATAGAATTGCCTACGACTCGACAGCTCTTAACCACAAAAAGTATTATCCTATACTAAAAAATGATCAAGAATTTTTAAACACTTGCACAACAAGGCTGAGGAAATTGTTGAGGAAATTGTGCCAAGTATCAAGAGTTAGCACAAAAAGACAATTCTGGTATAAGATTGTTATCATAAAACATTTCTTTGTCCCTTGGAGCAATTGCTGAAGACTCACATCCTTGGGTTAGCAGCACAACTCACCATACCAGCTCCTTCATTATAAAGCAGGAATTAGATGCTACTAAGCCACCAGCTACTCTGTGGGAGAAGGATGGGCAATCTCCTCCCTAGTGATTAACTGCCTCTAAAAAACCACCAGGGGGTCAGCTCTAGGTTGGTTCTGACTCAATGGTAAACAACAAGCCAGCCCTGATTTCTACATTTACAAGATAGTAAAAATTTATTTAAAAAAAAAGTTAAGGAAAAATTTATACACGGCTTAGATGATTTCCAACATTTAGTAAGAAGCTACAACTTTAAAAAAGGTACAATCAGACACTGTAATTCATTAATCAACTGTACTTGTTATAATACAAAATCTGTGCAAGTGATTCAAAGTATGAGTGAAATTTTGTATGATGGATAAATTTTTAAACAGAGAAATAAAAGAGAAACGTAAAATTATTTTTTATGATGGGGAACAATACCCAAAATGGAAGGTAAAATGGCTTCACAATTTGAAAAAGATAATGAATGTTATCAGTGTACAAACTGTTCAATGTGTGTGTTTTACTGTGTATATTCTTAATAAACTTTAAATTAAAATATATTAAAATATAAAAACTGCCATCTCAAATTAATAGCTACTTTGAGTGAAAACACTAAATGCTGTGCAAGTATCTACAGAATATAAAAACAAATTTAAGTTTAATATAAACTGTTCTTTATTTTTATATTAAAAAGAAATGGACTAATAAAATGCTTCTTTTGTTGTTGCTTTGAAAATGATACTTTAATGGAAGAAATTCTGGAAAAAAATTTTTAACAGAATAACGAAAAACTACCTTTTATGTATCAATTGCTTTTCATGTGTGCTATATCTTTATTCAAATCACAGATAACGCAAAAACAAAAACTCAACATAGTCAGTATAAAAAAATAAACATGTTTATAAGCCATGTAGATTTATTATACCCATTTTTTATCCATTCTCATGTTCATCAATGTCGTTGACTTATTTATGTTCCACTTTTTATTATGATCTGTACTTTTTAGTTTGTTATTGGTAATATTTCTTTCTCTTTTACATTTTGTGATTTCAGTAAAAGTTTACAAATTGGTTTTCCATTCAACAATTCAATCTATTTTTATTTTTTTGTAAACTACCTCTGAGATTTACACTGTCCCAGGAGACAGTCAACGAAGGGGGGGAATCAATTAAGAGAAAACAGGAGGTTTTCATGAAAATAAAGGAAGAGGTTTCCCTTTTAATTGTCCTTTCAGATTCTCTAGATTAGTTATGGCAAAATCTTTCTACCTTTCTGAAAAATATGTATATTACGGAGATTTCCTCAAGGATATGGGGGACTTTTTTTTTTTAAATGCAGTCATCAAAAACCCTAAACCCCCTACCTCTCAGCTTCTTGGCAGATTAGCATAACTAGAGTATACCAGCCATAAATATTCTGTATTAGAAAAGTAGCCATTTTATCTCTAACACGAATGTAAAAGTCAAGATTTTGCAATTTTTTTAGCAGAAAGTCAATGATAAATCACATTCTGGTTTAAAGATTATTCTATAGTAAAACTTCCTCTTCTATTTTTGTGAAGATGTTTTCTGGGTTGAATTTTGTCTTCAGTAATTTACAACCAAGAGCCAGCAGCCACAGGTGGCTATACAAATTTAAGTTAATGGAATGTGACTAAAATCTAAAATCCCGTTTGTCAGTTACACTAGCCACAATGGAAGGGCTCAAAAGTCCTTTGTAAAAAAAAGTGGCTACCTTTTTAAACTGTTTCACTCACAGAACATTTTCATCATCACAGTAAGTTCTACTGAACAATGCTTCCAACACAATTATATATGGACTTCAGAAAGCCTCACTTACTTCTTAGCTCCCACGGTCCTCTTGCTCCTCTGTTGTTTAAAGGATGTGCGTCCCGAAGTCTAACAAATCACAAGTACATGAGTAAGTGCGAGAGACCTCAGAATCATGACCACAAAAAGGCCAATCGCCCACGAAACTCTCCCGGAGCAACTATCTCAAACGGGGAAAGGCAATACTTTTTAAGAAAACTGTACCGGTTTTCTACACCTTAAAGGGACCTAAGAATAGCAAAGCCTTCATCTCGCCCATTCTCGAAGGCCTATCATTACGGTTCGGAAAGGGAGGCTAAGCGATGTGGGCGGCACTGGGAAGACGGGAGCAATAAAACTAACAGTAATCTGGCGAGAAAGTAGGTGCGAGGATTTCGGGGGCAGGCAGGGGAAAGTGGGTACAGAGAAAAACGGGGTAGGTGGGTAGGAACTCGAAGGGTGGGGCCTATGATGGATTCGGATAAAACCCAACTCTGGACAAGGGACAAAAGCGAGACGGGGACCGCGTGTTCCGCGCTCGATAGCGCTACCCCTAAAGCACAATGGTCAAGCCAAGAAACTCACAACGGGCACTGCAGCGAGTCTGGAAGTCATCGTTCCCACTCCACGCCTAACAAATTCACCCAGGGCCTCGGGCCAGACCAACGCCACTTCCGCTCCCCTCGCTCCCGGATGTGGACCCTCGCTCACGGAGCTCCGCGCTGAACATCTACTTCCGCCTCGCCGCTTCTGACGGGGGCTGCAGCCGGATTAAGTCACCTGACGGGACCTCCCTCCCTTTCCTCTGAGACCCCGCCTAGGGGAGAAATGTCCTCCTGCGATCCTGGAAACTGTAGGTGGGACTTCAGACAAAGGGGAGGAGTGGGAACCCCGCCCTCTCGTTCCCTCTGTTTGTGCGACCCTTAATGTGTCCCCCCCCTCCCCCGACCCTCACTTCTCTACCCAGCAAGAGGAGTGATGTTGCCAATGCACATCAATAGCCCCTTTAATTATTGACGTTTTGTTAATCGTACAGAAATTACATAGCCGTGCCACCCAAGCAGGAGGACATAAAAGTCCTTACTTCGGTGGTGGTATTGTTATTAAAGTGATATCTAGACATATAGGACTCATAGACACCCCATGATATATAGCTCAGAATACTGCCCTATCCTGTGCCGACCGTATCATCCCTAGCACATTTGAATCCATTGACACTGCATCATGCAACAATCCATCTCGTCAAAGATCTTCCTTTCCTTCGTTGATCCTCTACCTTTCCAAGCATGATGACGTTTTCTGAGGAACAGCCTCTCCTAATGCTTCATCAACTGTGCCTCCAAGGAACATTCTGGTGAACATCAGTATCCGTTTGTTCTTTGACAGACCATGGTTCCACTGCCAAGATTCAGCACTCTTCTCCAACACCACAGTCAAATGCATCGATTCTTCTGTCATCCTTATTCATTGACCAGCATTCAGATTCATAGCAGGTGACTGGAAAGATGGTGGGCTGGATCAGGCACACCTTAATCTTTAGACTGACATCATTGTTCTTCAAGAATTGGAGTGATCCCTGACAGCGAGTTTCCCAATGCTCTACATCTCCTGATTTCCTGACTGCTGGTACTAAGGATCTTGATCATGGATCCAACCAAGATGAAATCATTGACAATTTCAGTCTTTTCTCCATCTATAATAATGTTTCCTTTTGATCCAGTGCTGAGGATTTTTGTTTACTTGATATTGAGATGTAATCCAAATTGTGGTCCTTGATCCTCTGCAGCAAGCACTTCAGATACTCCTCACTTTAAGCAAACAAGGTAGTATCATTTTCATACCACACTTTGTTAATAAGCCTTCCTCCAGTCCTGATGCCACACTCTTCATCATAAAGTTCTTCAAGAGTGATGCCACACTTCCTAATGTACTTCATAATTTGCTCAGCATACAGATTGAATAAATATGGAGAAAGGAGACAGCCCCGATACACACCCTTCCTCATTTTAAAACATACAGTGTTTCCTTACTTTATTTGGACAAGAGCATTTTGATCTAGGTATGTTGTTGTGTTGTTGATTGCCGTTGAGTTGCACACTACTCATAGCGATTCTATAAACAAAAGATCTGAGGCCTTTCTATAACTATCATTTCTCCAAGTTCATAGAGTTTCCAGAGGCATGTGGTTTAGGAAGTGGATGCCATTCCGGCTTCCAAACCTGTCTTAAAACTAGGAGCTCCAATGCACACCCATGTTTATTGTGTCTTTGTTCACAATAGCAAAGAGCTGGAAACAACCCAAGTACCCATTAACAAAAGAATGGATAGAGAAGCTCTGGTATATCCACACAATGGAATAATATGCAGCATTGAAAAACAAGGAACTCATGAAATATTATTCAAAATGGATGACCCTGGAGGACATTATGCTGAGTGAAATATGTCAGTCACAAAAGGACAAATATTGCAAAGGACCACTGCTGTAAAATGGGACTGACATCAGGGTTGAGGGAAGACAGAAAAAGAGGGGAGCAATGATGTATATTGCCTTGAAACAGATGAGGGAGAGAACTGTTTAAAAAAGCCATATGAATGGGTATTCTTGTCATTACATAAGTCCAGAGTGAAGGCTGCAAATCTATCTAGGAGAGAGTACAGAGCACTCCTTAAAAACAAGGATGGTGAAACTTCATCTCACATACTTTGGACATGTTGTCAGGAGGGATCAGTCTTTGGAAAAAGACAACATATTGGAAAAAAGTAGAGGGTCAGAGAAAGAAGATGAAGACTTTCAGTGACATAGATTGACACAGTGACTGGAGCAGTTTGTGGATTCAACAGTTCAAGTTTTTTCTTCTGTTTTATGAAAAGTTTATCTTTGATACAAGAGCAAAATATCTTAAGTTTTGGGAAAGTGACGGGAGAGGGATTACATAACAATGAAAAAGATTTTAAGGAGAAGAGTGAATGGGGGAGGGGGTGGGTAGAGAGAAAAGTGCAACAGTGAATGACTGGAAACCCTAAGTCTCTGTAAACTTTCATTAAAACTTTAAAAAAAAGAAAAAATAATTTTAAAATGGTGACTATTAAACCTGGCTCACCCTTAGGCAATTTCTATGAAACTAAGTTTAAAAATTAAAGAAATAAAAGTCTAAAACATTAAAAAAAAAAAAAAACAACCAAAAAAACTAAGCGCTCCACCAGACACTGTACACCATGGGCAGGCATTCTGGCATTTGAGATCTCAGTGGTACAAGGTTCAGTATCACAGCAAACCCAGATTTCCTCAGCATAGCAAATTGACAGAAGAGTGCTGTACAATTTAGAAGAATGTTCTTCCAAAATATACTAACAAGGGATTAAAATAGAATCCCCTGGGCCCAACTTTTAAATACAAGGGAAATCCAGGAGGTCTTGTTGACTCTAAACAAGAGGCTTAAATTAAAGAAAAAAATCAAAAAACTAACAACAAACCAACAACAGCAAAAACCCCAAACAACCAAACATTCCACAATGACCCTCAACCAAAACAAGAGAGCCCAGCTTAGAGAGTCCAGTCGCTTCATCCAGTCTTCAAAATGGAGATAAGGGCTTGGCCTTAAATGCAGGTGTCCTCCTAGAGGTCTTGTTGACTTTAAACAAGAGGCTTAAATAGGTATACATCTAGGTATAGATTTCATATAAGGTACAATTAAGTGTTCTGGAATTCCCATTCTTGTCAAGGTTTACCATAGTTTGTTAAGATCGACACAGTCAAATGCTTTTACAGTTAATAAAACACAAGGAGATATTCTTCTGATATTCTCTGCTTTCAACCAAGATCCATCTGATATCAGTAATAATATCCTTGGTGCCACTGATTCTTCGAAACCAAGCTTGAACATCTGACAGTTCTCTATGTAATGTTCTACACATATAGGGATGATCTTCAATACTATTTTGGTTGCATGTTATTTTAATGACATTGTTTGATAAAGTTCACATTCTGTTGGATCACCTTTCTTGGGAATGGGAACAAATAGGATTTCTTCTAGTACTTTGGCCATGTAGCTGTCTTCACAGGTGAGGGTACATGAATTGGAGGACCCAAATAATCAGGAAAGAACCCAGGAGATTGAAGAACTGAGTGAAACCACAGGGAAAGGAAGGATGAGAGAAAACTTCATTTCCTAGCTTCTGGACCCCAAACTCAACACATTTCTGATTTTTCTTTTATTTGAGTAACCCATAAAGCCTTCAACAAACTCTTATCTGAGCCTTTCATGAGGGGTGCTTGATTCTCTCCTTAAGAGGACCACTTTGGGTTTATTGTGGAGGAACAGTAATTGATTCTTGACCAGTGCTAGTCTTTGGAAAATCTTCATTGCACATGGGAAGCACTAGATAGCTTACCATGAGGATGAGAGCAGGGTGACCACAATAGAGTAAATAAATGAGTGCGGCCATTAGCCAGCAAGGAAAACTTTATTAAAGCAAAGAGCACCCACCTACCTGATTAGTTAACATTAAGCATGCAGTGCTGGTAGAAAGACAGTTAAAGACAGGAAAGAAAGGAAGATGCTCTGAGAGAGAGAACAGCAGTGGTGGCAGAAAAGACAGTTAAAGGAAGAAAAGAGAAAAAAAGTGCTCTGGAAGAGATGAGCATGACATCCTCTACCGCAAGATGAAGGGAAATGACCTTTCCCACCTCCTCAACTTTTGTTATATTAACTTGAAGTTTCCTACTCCAAATCTCAGAAGACTGGCCCCTTTGGTGAGATTCCATTGGGTCTTACTAAAAATTGTTGAATTATGGCCATCACTGAGGTCATGGTTCCACTTTCTGCTTCCTTAACTGCTATTTGTCCTGCCTACCATGTTCCCTTTACATCGGCCAAGTAATATTAATTAGATCCTTGCTTTAACATTCTCTCTGCCCAGCCTATCTTTATTTCTGTCTGACTTAACCTGATCTGGCCCTAACAGTTCATGTAGAGGGAGAGGGACTGCTATGGATTCTGTCAGAATGACTGTGAGAACAGGTAATCTTAGAAGCCTGGGATGGCTTCTCTTAGAGGGACTTCAGGGACACCTTTCAGAGGTATGATGATGGCTCTTAGAGGAATGGCTCCATGAACTTGTCTGGCTTTGCCTTGTCTACAGTCTTCTGCCCAGTAGAAACCATAGTTCTATGCACTGTATGGAATGCCTTCTTTAGATCCTGGAGAAGCAGCTGTATAAATGTCCATTGGGAGGATCTCTTGGGTTTTCTCTTGAAACAAACCATCCGAGCTGCTCTAATCCTTTTCCTTCTTGACTGTGTTGATAACTCTCTAGAGGAACTCGGCATTAGGGCTCCACTAGTTTGTGTTATAATCTCTTTAGTGATTCTCTTTATGGGATCATTTGTATCAGGAGTCTTTTGAGGTCTCTCAACAGCCCATTTTTTGTCTAGACTGTTTTCAGAAGGACGCTATAGGTGAGCTGGAGTCCATTCCTTGCTGCCAAACTTTCTGATTTCTGCAGTTATTACTGAATCAGGGCTGCCACGTTTCATTTGCCTGAAGTGAGCTTATAAGGGGGTAGGAGACTGGAAGGGCCCAGATTAGAAATCTATTGTGGGAGTAGGACTTTTGGATGCTCCAGAATAGATGGTAGCTTTACTTTGGGATGGTAATACAGAATGATTTCTTGTGATTAGTCTACCCCTTCCATGATACTTTGGAATTTGGGATTTCCCCCCATGTTTCAACCAAAAGCCGAGCTGCACGTCAACC